ATGCGGACGCCGCTGATGGCGCTGCTGGCGCTGGTGTTGGCCGGCAGCGCGAAGGCGGGTGACATTGTTAGTCTCCTGCCGTCCGACTGCGCGCGCAACGCCTCAGAGCGAGCCGAGAACGCCAGCATCTTCTGCGACTGTCTCAAGGACAGCGGCGTGGACACGGAGGCGGGCCTGCTACGACAAATGCGCTCCGATCTGGGCGTGCTGGTGGCGGCGTACAACTGCACCAAGCTGTACGCCGACACCACGCATCAGCAGCTGCACTTCCCCGTGTACTACTCGGCGCCGTACCGCACGGTGGGCGCGCTCTTCCAGGGCGCCATCTTCGCCGTCGGCTTTCTCGGCAACGTGATGGTGGTGGTGGTGGTGCGCCGCTCCCGCAGCATGCACACGCCCACCAACTGCTATCTGGTGAGCTTGGCCGTGGCCGATATCACCGTGCTGATCGCCGCCGTACCCAACGAGATCGCCATGTACTTCCTGGTGGCGCAGGCCTGGATCTGGGGCAACGCCGGCTGCGCCATCCTCGTTTTCCTGCAGAACATGGGCATCAACGCGTCGGCCCTGAGCGTGACGGCGTTCACTGTGGAGCGCTACATCGCCATCTGTTGGCCGCTGAAGGCAGCGCACCATCTGCACGGTGCAGCGCGCCAAGCGGATCATCCTCGCCGTTTGGGCCTTCGCCTTCTGCTACTGCGTGCCCTGGGCGTTCCTCACTAAGGTGGTGCCAGTGCGCTACATCGGCGTCAGCGACGTGCAGGAGTGCACGTTCAAGCTGTCGCGGCAGACCTACCTGGGCTACTTCTTCGCCGACATGGTGCTGTTCTACGTGGTGCCGCTGGTCATCTCCAGCGTGCTCTACACCATGATCGCCGTCGTCGTGTTCCGACCGCCGCAGATCCTGAAGCAGATGGGTGGGCCGGCGGCGGCCGTCGCAGACGTCCGCTCCTCCAACAGTGCGCGGGTGCAGGTCAGTATTCCTCCCTTCATGACGAGTCTTGAAGTCATGATGATTAGCACCGTCGCGGTACGTCACGTCCGTCGCAGTGGAACGATCTCGCTGCGACGATCGCAACTTGACTCAAGCTTACTCTTCCGGTGGTGGCGCGAGGGGCCTGCCGTCGCACCGCGGTGACTCGTGCATGGGTCGCAGGGTGTCCCGAGCCATAAACCTCAGCTCGAGCTGGAGCACACTCTGGTTTTTAACACGGCGCCTGCTCACAAGGAAAACCCTCTATGTGACGGGCCTACACGGCACGTCAGAAGCAGTTCTGTTTCTGACGTGTCATGTGGTATGTGTTGATGGGTAATATTTGTATTTTAGCCCAAGTGATCGCGCCCGCGACATGTGGCGAGGAAATTCCTCGCCACATGTCAACTAGCGTGACAGCCCCACAGCACAAACTTGCCCTTCATTCTGCGGACAGAAACATATGACAACAGCGTACCGCGGAGCCGCCCACAAACAGCACCGAGTTCGCATCCAGGCGCGCAACAGTTGCTAGGCTGTTGTTTTGATGTCCGCCGTTATTGTATGGTGATGTGGGATCAGAAATATTCATAGGATGCTGGAGAAAATTGTCTCCGTCTGTGTGTCGGGTTCGCGAGAACCACTCGAGAATTGCCCTCTAGATGACGTCAACAGCTTCTTAAAATGCAGGGCTGTCCAGTGAGGCAAAAGAAGTAGTTTGCTTTTTTCAAAGAGTGATTGGAAGTAGCGTGTCAAATTATGTGCACTCCAGGATGGCTGACAAACCTGTCTCTGGCCAATTAAGCGCGTTGGGATTGCTATCATTTCTTTTCTGTGGTCCACTTAGCAATGCCAACATCCTAGTCTGCAAATCTAGCTCACAACCACCAACACATCTCTTAACGCCAGTTTTATCACTTGAACTTACGTCCCCGCCCACATCCCTCCCTCTTTGCAGCGCGCCGTGATAATACTGATAGTGACGAGCAATGCTCTGAAATAATTGCCTCCTTTGCTTGGTTGGGTGTTTGGTTGCAGTATAATGTTGCGTTTTTGTAAAATCTGTTTTTCGTTTCACTCCGCGTTTTATATGTTCTCTTGGTTCGTTGGCACATCTCAGGCATCTCTTGGCACCTACCACATTTAGTAAACACAAGTGTGAAGATCATTGTCGCCGGTCTTTTGAGGGAAATGACCTGAAGTTTTGACGACGTCATCTTTAATTTAAACTGCCAACCACGGCAGCTGACTCCCGACTATTTTTCAAGCAGGCTCGCTCAAAATCGGACGGCGAGCAATAAATTTCCCCGTAGACCGACATACAGCCTTCCGGTGAAAACTGGATAAGCTAGGCGGGACATGAACGGTGATGGGTGTGGCTACAGCTGGGCGGGACATGGACGGGGATTTGTGTGGCTACAGCTGAGCGGGACATGGACGAGGATGGGTGTGGCCACAGCTGAGCGGGATATAGACGGGGACGGGTGTGGCTACAGCTGGGCGGAACATCAGTCCTGCACCCTGTCGGAAACGGCCCGGTCTTGCACTGGGTTGGTGACTAAATCCATCTGTTCAGATATTAAGTGTTCGTAACCATTCGCTCCTTGAGTTTAATGGGCTGCTTAAGGCAGTAAAACAATTCCGAAGTGTTCGCTCATGCATTGATAAATATGCCATGAGAAGTTCTGCACTGGTGCATATCTGAGGTACTTTGGTGCCCTGGGCTAAAAACCTGGTCCAGGTTGCTCGAGTCCTGATCAAGTCCCCTTGGTTGCCAAACTAGTGTTAGTACGTATAGGGACAGTGTTCTGCTCGTTTTAGGCACTCAAGTGGATATCTACTCAACGCAAGTGAATAGAGCAATATGCCAAGGGCTTCACGAACCCGTCCGGGATAAATAGAATTGTGGGAGCAATAGGAATGCTACGATCACATTTTGTTGACGCTCATTGCGAGGTCGAGATCAGTTTAGTGGTTGGAAATGTTATGACAACCTTGGAACCCAGATGGCTTGTTTTATTATTCCCGCACCACCGACAGCCAAGCCCTACGTGTATCACCCGTATGCCTGTGTCATGATCCACCATCGCAGTTGTTTTTCTTATCGTGTTAAAATATCTATGCATGGCGTTGCGAAACTAACGCTTCCACGCTTTCAAAACAGACTTTGGCAAATCAGACATTATTTACAAATTTACTGCGCATTACTGATATTTGAAGCCGATTTCCCGCTCAGAATGGCAATGCAACACAAGAAGTGCCGCTATTTTAAAAAGGGAAAAAGTAAGTTTATGTCGTTATTTTGATGTCTTAAATCTAGCAGCAAAACGCGAGCACAAGTTATTTACATTTGTATCGACTGCTTCGTGAACTCGGTCGGGGTAACTGGAAACAACCCGGCTCTTAAAAAAAATATGAGTGCCGTGCCCTATTTCACAGAGGGATGCCCTAAAGCCACTGTCGTGTTAAGGGGCTGAGATACTGGTACCCTTGTTTGTGCATCACACAAATCACGGATATTGAGAGCTTGTCCGCCAGAGTAATGAAACCATCAATATTCAAATTTGCTAAGCAGGCGATTTTCAGTGTTGCCCTTGTCATTGCATAGCGCAACTATCTGAGAGAAAATCTCCCCGATTTACTCAACAACAAATGTTATACTGCGCAGCTCATCATCATCATCATCACCATCATTCTCATCATCAGCATCATCAGCATCAGCATCACTGACTATTACCGGCTTGCCTGCACTGTGGGGACGAATTGAAATGAGCGTCCGCTGTAACACAGGCTCAGTTATGCGGGCGGATATACCAATGAAAACAGGAATTTGGAGCTCCAGTAGCCACTGGCTCAACCAAATACCAATGAACTGAATTCATCGGAAACGGGTCCTCCAGATCGAGTCGTCTGTCATTCTGGACGTTGTGGGCGGACACAGACGATTGCCAGCGGCATGAGCCGGGATCAAAAGTCGAATTGGCTCATCAGGATTCTGTGTCGAACCGGATCATGGGACGGTACGATGCCCCTCAACAAGCTGGCCGATCTGCTTCTGACCGATCTTATGGTATACGCTGACGATCTGGTGGTACGGACTCTGTAAGCTTGCGGTAATGCGGACCACTACTTATCGTGGGGCTAATGGGGCCATGACAGTTGCCATGACAAACATCTTGGGTAATACAGCACCTACCAACAGAGCGTCGGTCAGAATGTCGTCAGGTGATCATAGGTCAAGGCAAGTGCAAGTGCACTTCGGTCATTCGAGGTATTCGTATCAAGATTTGGCGAGCCTTTTGCTTGCATGGTTATGGAACAGCACTACGCCAGGGCGATATATAATGGCATCGAGTTAAACAACACCTAATTCGACGTCAGTTATCGATCTCCCTTATTCCCCCGCCCGTCCCCCCCCCCCCTCCCCCCGCCCACTCCCTCGTCTGGAAACACGCTGGTGCACAGCCGTACAGTACAATCTTGTTCTTAATATTACCAGGTCTCGAGTAATCATCAACGGGACGTCTACTGTTAGATGCTTCGAAACATCCGGCTAATCTGCGCGCTCGCGATATCGATCATGGCTTCGGTAACTAATTAAAGAGCTCCACCACAGCAAAGTGAGAACGCATCGCTGAATCGTAATTGGTTATCCTGGTTTGCACCAAGTAAGCGCACTCCTGGCCCGCAATTCAATGTTTGATGCTTCAAAGTTTTATGCTTGATGCTTCCAAGCTTGATGTATGCTTCGACGGTCGGTGGTACAAGCCTGATGTTATAAGCAAATATGTTAAGCTTCTAGTATTCCAGCATTTTCTACACTACTGATTCTACGTATTGGCAGGCGGGAGACAGACATCCAATGCAGACCTTTTCCTTTGTAAACGGCGCCACATCAGCTCCTTGGTGATGCAAATCGACATGCTGCGCCGGAAACGCCGGGAACAAACATGCTTGTTTTCAGCGAGAGGTCCTGCAGATAACAGGTGTCTCCACTGAATGGGGGCTTGCCGAAATAGGCTCCTTATTATACTGCTCCTTGTTTGTTATACATTTTCCGACATGGAGGCTGGTCGTATTCAATTCTTCTCTTAAATGCACGTTGGGCGTTTCCCATTTAAATGCCATTGTAAGGTCAGACTGTATCAATAAGATTCCAGATACACCAAATCCTGATTGGCCCTAACCTTAACCTTAGCGGCGTGGTTACAGGCTACAGCCTAACGTTACTGACGTGTTCGCTAATCAAAGCGCATGTCATACACATGATACAATGACATTCGCCATAATCAGTTGAGCCGGCGACATCTGCCGCATTTCTTAATCGGTTCAGGTATGGTTGCTGGCGATTTTTCGACAATGATTATCTACATTTCCGCTTAATTTAACCAAAAATATTATTGCTAGCCTGCCGTTAATCGTGTTGTAATGTAACAGATAGTAAACTATACTTGATTTTTTGTCATTTGCAAATCCGTCATTTATGGTTTGTATCTTTGTTTAACATGATGAGAAGCTTTGCCTGCAAGGATACTAATGGCTGAAGCTGCAATCTTTGCATAATTTGTATGGTTCGCAAAGCTGGCCTGTGGTTGCAACATAGACGTGTTCATCATAGCTCAGCCATACGTGCCAAATTACAGCATTCGTCTTCGGGATGAATTGATCGCTCCAGATACGTCTTTAAAAATGGATTGCACTTGGACACGTCCTAAAACATTTTGAAGCCCTGGAGGTCGTTTGTACTGCATTTTTCAGTCAACTGATGAGGATTTTGGACAGCGCCAACGTCACGGGCATTTCCAAAGGTAATAAATTCGGTGGAAACGCTATGTACCGTTATTTGCTTAGGGATCATCTTAAAAGCTTAACCCAGATCGCGTAATTTAGAAAAAATCGGAAGTCAACTTTAAAGAGCGTGCCAGATTTATGAAGTCGCCCCGATTAGAATGAGAATGCAAAAGTACAACGTACTTATAATGTATGCACACGCACACACACACACACACACACACACACACACACACACACACACACACACACACACACACACACACACACACACACACACACACACACACACACACACACACACACACACACACACACACACACACACACACACATACACCCCTCCACACACACACACGCACGCACGCACGCGCACACACACACGCGCGCGCGCACACACGCACGCACGCACGCACGCACACACACACGCGCGCGCGCACGCACACACGCACACGCAAACGCACACGCACACGCGCGCACAAACACACACGCATACGCATGCACGCACGCGCAAAGTAAAATTATGTTTACTAGGCTGACTCCTGATGAATTCGGCCCCTGCTAGACATTTGAAGAGAGATTGCTTTTCGTGTCTGCAGGCGAAATCCAACCGTAGATGTGCCCTTGCCGTGCAGTTGATTTATTCTTGTTAAAAGAAACTTTTCCCAACATTTTTAGTCAGTCAGCTAGTGGCATAAAGGTACTAGGAGATGAGTCGGTCCACTCCAAAGCAAGCTTTTTGTGAAAAAAAATATCTGTGTGGCAACAGTTATTGCCAATTTGACGGCGGCTGCTAGAAGGAAGTACTTTTACACATCGAGACCACCGAACGCCATTCGGCGAAATAGGGAAGTAAAGATTGCGAACGCGGGGAATGATCTCTCATAAAATGACGAAGGTGCGTTCGTGCAGATTTTTTAGGGCCTGCTCTTCTCCCGCAGGTGATCAAGATGCTGGTGATGGTGGTCTCTCTGTTCGCCCTGCTTTGGCTGCCGTATAGAAGCATGCTCGTGTACAACTCATTCGCCCAGACGCCTGAGGAGAAGTACATGGACCTGTGGTTTCTCATGTTTGCCAAAACATGTGTCTACATCAACAGGTAACTGTTGCGCTCGGCTGATCCCAGTCACCAGCTGCATTAATTTTTGGAGTCGGTGCAGCAGATCGTGTCGCCTGACCGTAACGCGTTCTCTTCACGCTTCGTATCCCGCCTTCCTTCACGCTTCGTATCCCGCTTTCCTTCACGCTTCGCATCCCGCCTTCCCTCACGCTTGGTATCCTGCTTGCCTATGCAGTCGTCTGTAAACCGAGGCGAGTGATTGAGCCTGTGAGGGACTGAGCCGGAATTCTGTTTGGATCTCCAACTGCGCACAGCGCACTGCGCGCACCACAGTACCTTCGACGCCTTACCATGTGGAGCTGCAAATTTGCAGAGAAATGCACACGGTTGAGGCGAACGACAAGCATCGCGAACTTCCCCGTCCTCCTGCGCTTACTTTGGCGTGATGGATCATCATCTTGACGTGTTCTCCGGTGCCAATACGCACGACTTACCATTCCGCTCGTCAACGCACGAGTGGCCGCGATCGGGCAAATCCTGTCCTGACTGGACTGTCGTCCGTGGCGTGCCGTTACTGCCGAGAGCCGGCCTCGTTCGTGGCGTTTCTACCCCGAGGCGGCGGCAGTTGTTGCTGAGCGCGTGGGACCAGGGATTTCCCAGCGCGGCCGCGGCGGTAATTGAGGCGTCAGGCCAGCCGGGAGAAGAACTCAACGCCCTAATGAAGACAAGCGTTTAAAATGATGCATTGCGAGGTATCGTCAGCGCGGATTGTGCTTCTCTCCTCGATTTTATGTGGTATGCCTCCATCGGGCTCGCCGCCAATGAGGACGGGGAACAGGGTCCCGACGCCCGGTACTTTGCAAACACTGGCGCCCCAGTGACGGACCAGCGGCGCCGCGCGCAGACGACCGGTCTTTATACCCGGGCGCAGCCTTCCATCACATCACTACTGGAGATAATGCCGGAATCTGGCGATCAGAAAATTATTCTCGTTTTAAAACATCATACCCCCACCATGGGCAGTGGCATGTGGAGCCCAAGAGCTGAGGTTAAGTCACCAGCAGATCGCCGGGGGCATGTGCGGTACTGAGCTGTAACAGTTGTAACAACTGTACGGTACTGAGCTGTAACTGTTGTTTAAGGCACCAGGACAAACTGGGATCAAAGGCTCATTGACGCGTTAGGTACTGTACCAACACATTAGTGTTTGTTAGGTTTATTAGTTCGTTTGAATTGCGCAGGTCGAGTGCCACATGACACATTTATTGCATTTTGTGTCAGTGGGGCTTTGAATGACACATGAAGAACTAGCGCCCTCTTCCTACATCGCAAATCATGGTTGCCCCTCTCGTCGCAAATTCTGGCTTCGTTCCAGGCAATGACTCCGTTGTTGCAATGCTTTGACTCCGTGCCACCCAGACATCCGCCAAACATCGAATCGTGGTAACGCCTATTCAACTATTTATGGTCTTCGACGTTTATCTCGGTGGTGTATTCGAGGTTTTAAAGACAGAAGATCGTGTGCCAGATCTCGCACTTATTGTATTTTGTGTAGCATAATGATATTTATTTTGGTCTCCCAAGATGTGCTTCAATGTGACCTTTGCAAACGGAGAGCCCTCTACTCAATTTCAAACCCGTGCTCCCGGCTGCTGTCAAGTACTTGCTTCAAACACGGATCATCCCTGATTAGTCTAGGCTAATTTCGTAGCCACTCTCTAAATGCTGATTAAGCTGTCGCGCTGGTCGTCAAGAATTCAAGGGCTTTAATATGATACAATTATTGCTATTTTCAAGAAAAGGGTAACCTCTGCCTTGCATCGATCAGGCCTAATGAAATGCTTCAAACCCTCGGCCCATCACACCATCCCAACGAGGCCAGCGTCACAGACAACAGCCTCGCACGATTGTCACGTGACTGGCCTCAGGTCACATCGGAGGCTACCGACCGCACGTTAGCTTCGGTCTAGTTCCCAGTGCCAGTGTTTTCGACTGCACTGGCGAACTTTCAGTAATCCCGTGATGCGCATCACTTCGTTTTCCTGATTCGGGCAGACTGACTCCACCTAACGGGCTTGCAGGAAACACGCTTTATATTTCCAAGGGTCAGTAAGGACCGGCAAGTAAATGACAAATCCAAAAACGCCTTCCAAACCGCACATTTGGCGAGGAAATGCGAGAGGAAAACTACGCACCCCGGCCCGTTGGAGTCCAAAAGGGAGCATGGGCTAGAAATCATTTAATATCACTCCCATGCGGCAGTTGTTAACAGCCCACACGACACTGTTCTGGCGTAACGACAAACCGAGGCCCACTGCATGCATCGCATCTATATTTCGAGATATTAGGCCGTCATTGGTGTATGTTGTTGCAAGAATGCATTTTTTTTTGCGTGATCAGAAGAGCTGCAAAAATACGCAGATGCTGCTTAGCACACCTTCATATGATTCACTGTTATTCACATCTAATGCTAAGCATTAGACTTCTTTGTCTCTCGGGATGCAAGGCCACCTCTTATAATATAAGACGTTCAGAGTCTTAGAGAATTCCGTATGCATCGGAAAGCTCTGCAGATTTTACAAGCTAGCTCACTGTATTGAACGGTTAGGCAATGCCTGGACAAAAAACTTTGCAGAACTTGACCCTATCCCGTCACATGAGTTATATTAGTGCGCGTAGATAGTGACAATAATTATATCGCGCGAGGGAAATATGCCGAAAGCAACAAGTTCCGAGATATCTTTCTCCTCGTGACAGATAATCATTTATTTTGTCCCACCTCGCTGTCGTGCGTTGTAATCATAGCACACTTTGTCCCACCTTGCTTCCGTGCGTTGTAATCATAGCACATTTTTCCCCACTTTGCTCCCTTGCGTTGTAATCGTAGCACGTTTTTCCCCACTTTGCTTCCGTGCGTTGTAATCATAACGCATTTTGTCCCACCTCGCTGCCGTGCGTTGTAATCATAGCGCATTTCGTCCCACCTCGCTGTCGTGCGTTGTAATCATAGCACATTTTGTTCCAGCTCGCTGCCGTGTGTTGTAATCCTAGCGCAGCTTGTCCCACCTCGCTGCCGTGCGTTGTTATCAAAGCACATGTCTGTGGACTGGCGTGACCGTCGAACGGATTAAAAGACGTAATGGAAAGGCAAAGGATAATAGCTTGTACTCCGAAACTGCATTAGTGCGGGAGTCACGTTACCATAACTTACGTAAAGGGCTGCCTCAGGCGAATAAAGCCTTTCACATTGAATGAGATATGCTCCATGAAATGAGCAGATGCTTAAAACGATGGGGTTGTCAAGGAAATCAACATTTTGCTCTGAGTAGTGTGTGCCTTTGGATCAGAATCTTGTGTTACAACACCAGAGGGCCTACAATAAATTTTTGATCTATTTTGTCTAGTGCATCTTTGAAACTCGAATGACTTCAGCGCTGAAACAGTAGCAAGACATTGTTAGTGCTCAATTGATGCATGTTTTAAAGGGTTAAGTGGCAATCTAGTGACCATTGTGCGTTGACCTTTCATCCTACAAAGGGCGCTCAAAAATGTCCACTTTTCATCGAGTATTCGAATTAAACTAAGGTGATGTGACAAAAACCAGGGTTAGCCAATTAGTTTAGTTTGGAAATGAGTTAAACCCAGTACCAAATCTTAATCGACCAATGCTTTCAGTTACAAAAGTTGCCGTTTGTCAGACTCAATTCAGCTTACCTAGCAATTTGAATGTTCGCCTTTTGGTCACATTTAGCCACGTGTCACCCGTTTGTATGTCAGCGTCGTTTCCACTCCCCTGTCCACGAGCGGGGCGGGGTGGCCTGTTAACCAGGCTGACCTGCACGCAACCCCGGCGCCACCACGGGCTGCGTTCCCCATTGGCAAAGCGCCTACTTGAGTTGCTTCCTATGACGTCGCAAGTGCTTACGTTATACATAAGCAGCTATCCTTCAAGTCGTAGGGAACTGTTGTGACGCACATACCTCTGACGTCACACCTTACAGCTTGCCGACGGTGTTTGGTCATAAGACACACTGCTCAGGGGCGCCGACGGGCAGCGGTGGCGGGACCGGCAGCACGAGCGGAGATCGAGACAACGCCGGCTACCTGGCGGCTCGGGACGGACACAGACAACGCCGGTGACCTGGCGGCTGGGGACGGACACAGACAACGCTGGCTACCTGGCGGCTGGGGACGGACACCGCGGCCCAATTTTCCGCTCTCTCAGCACCCAGCCACTGAGGCTGACGCTGCTTTGGTGTTCTAAAGCGCAGCACCGCTTCAACTTGAACATTGTCTGAAGACATCCTTTTCAACGGTCCACTTAATTACGTTCAACAGCCAGCCAATTTAGCTACCTCAATTATGTGGTTTGAAAAGGTACTTGCAACTATATATTGACGACCCTGGACGACATCCGGCATAAGCTCTCCGCCCCCGCTGAGCCTGCCCGCTTGCCATGTCCGCCGAGCGAGCTGAGCTGATGACGTCCGGCGCTGATGGCGGCCCTAGCGACAGGGCGCGGAATGGCCCTGGAGAAGCCGAAGCCGAAGCCGAGCCTGAGCAGCGCTAGCCGGGCTGTGCTCCTGCAATCTCTTCCAGCTTTCCTGAGGCTGCACTGAGGCCGAGGTGGACAGATGACTGCTGGCACCCATTTCCGGCGTTCCAACCAAACTGCAGTGGCCCTGGCCGCGGATTTCATCGATCGGGAGACGCAGCAGCTGTAGCGCGTGATTATTGGACCCTGGAAGCACCGAGGTGGGATCGCGCGAGGACGCAGTCCCACCTCGTTGGCATTTCTAGGGTCCACAGGGATCCGAAACCAGCTCAGGACGCGGCATTTCGCACAAGTTATTGTGTTTTAGTCTTGTTTTTTTGTAGAAAATCAGCGCGAAATTATTTAGGTAAGGTGGTGCAATTTGTATCACACAATACGGTAAAATAAGGTCGTTTTCGGAGCGATGCCGCTTTGCTTTCGTATTTGACTCAACGTTTGTTAGTCGTTGCATTTCAAGACACCTTAGATTACGGAGGTTTGCAATCATGAATGATGATAAGGTAATGAGCGTTTTGGCTGTCGTGGCCGTTTTACGCGGTCCTGCGTGTTATATGCTGCGCTTATAAGTATACATGATGTTCAACAAACGTATCTCGATGAGACTGTCACCATCGGTGTGAGCGATATGAGGAATAATGGCGCTCACAGATGCAGACAGGAGAG